TGTCAGGGTTTATAGTGCAGTAGTCAAGCCTTGAGGAGACAAAAGCGTGGATAAATTTTTTCCGCGTCACTTTTAGGAAGAATATTCCTGATTTTAGCAATGTTCCACAAGTGGAAATATGCCGTTTTAGTTGCTTGGTTTATATAAGCCTTGAAGGAGAGTTCTTTGTCAAAAACGACTCCAAGATTCCTCACAGTGTTGCTGGGTACTATACTGGCATCATAGAGAGTGATTATCTGGTTGACAAGGGAGTTATTAAGTCTCTCATTTGAATACTGAGAAATATGGATATTGACAAATTAGGAGAGTACACAATATTAACAATTGGGGGTAACATTGTTCAACGTTATTAAATTAATTAATAATGGAGAATATTCTGGTTTTAATTTTCTTTAATTCTTGAAGCCAACACTCCAAGAACCACAGTAGTGCTTTTTCTCCAGTATACTGTATATTTATTTATATACAATGAAGCTGGTCATTTATTTGTGGAACATAGAGATGTTGATGAAATTGAGGTTCCTTCTGAAACCATAACACCAAAACGTGATGCATTAGATACATTATTATAATTCTGTTTGTTCACCTGTTCCCAGAATACCATTTCTCACGTCAGTGTCGCCCAGAGCCATAAAACTCTTATTTACAATGACACTCCTATTGTGTGAAGAGGACGGGCTTTTGTGTGTGTGCGCGAACATTTTGTCCACACCCAAAACTCCAGCGGCCCCCCGAAGCTACCAAATTCCTGCATCGAGAGTCAACTTGTCTAAGCCTGACCCTCCTGCGTGCATCCTCTGTACCATCCACACAATTTGCAAGCACGCGTTTAAAGGGCCAGTCTAATTTTAACCTGTCGCGACACGCACACTTGCCCCATCAGAGGTTAGTTTGTGGAATGAGTCAGCCTGCTAAGACCTGCCCCAACAGTGGGTGAGGAGCAGAGCAAGGGAGAGTAGAGGGTGAAATCTCAGCTTAGCAGGTAAACGATAAAACCAACGACTGGATTTAAAACCAGCGCCCCCAGTTGTGTTGTACGGGTTGGGTCTTCTGCACAGGACAGAAGAAGCAGGAGCAGGGTGAGTAATCCGACCTACGCTAATGATTGATTTCTATTTCTTTTACATTGTTAAGTTGGAGAAATTGCACATGTTTTTTCTGGCCACACTCTCGACTTGTAGATTCAATGTGCATGTGGGGCCAACTCGGCTCGGATGTACCATTGTTGAAGGCTTTTTCCATGTTAATAACAGGATAAGTTGTGGTGAATGTATCTACAAATTATAGGGCAATGATTTAGCTCTGGCCAAGAAAACTGCTGACGTGTCTACAGTTTGTGTGGCCTCAGGCTCTGGACATATCACTGCATGCAAAAGTTATTTTATGCACCTAAAGGATAGCTTTCAGTAGATACATCTGGGTTAGAGTTAATAATTGCATGGCTTTGAATGTACTTTACAACGTGATGTTGAGTTTGTAAAGAACAACATGGTAAAATGGCTCTACCTCCTGATGACAAAGTATTAACTCTGAGAAGAATATGCCAGTGTGTATATAAAAATCAGTGCAAGAGTTGACCTTTTTATTGATAGTTTTAGATAATTCTTGATAACTAGTTAGACCATATCGGCCATAATCCATTTTAAGAAAGTACAATAGTTCAAAACATTTTATAAAATAAGTGACTGTTGTTCTATGTATTTCTGTATTTAGTTTGGCGGCATTTTCATGAGATATGTGTAAAAAGTTAACTTTAATTTATTGACAACACAAATTTAATTTTGACAAGGTGCCATTTATTTACTCCTTGTGAGCTAAAGGCCTGAATTATGACTCGTTTCTGGTTTCAACCTGGTATTTTCTGGGTTGGAAAAATACCAGGTTTTTCGGATTATAAATCGCTCCGGAGTGTAAATTGCACCAGCCAAAAATGCACAATAAAGAAGGAAAAAAACATTGCACTAGAGTATAAATTGCATTTGTTGGGGAAATTCATCTCCAACAAAGAAAGCGAGAAAGCGATAAACAAGATTTAATTTTGTGCCCATATTATGTTTTCTGTCTTTTGTGTATCATCTGGTATTGCTTGCACTTGTATACAGTATATAAATGTAGATGAGAACATAAGCTTTATGATAAACAGCTTGTGGGTTTTGATGAGCAAAATACATAGAACTTAGAATGTTGGATTTGTTAGAAGTGGAAGTGCAGCCTGCAGTCTCAGTGTCGCTGTGGGGTGATGTAGTGTCTCTAAATTGACCTGAATGAATGACACTTTGTTCCGTGTCAGCGGATAACTCGCTGTGAAGGCTTTCCCTGAGTCTATGACCTGTGCTGGACTATGAAATATATTTTGATATTGTTTAATTTGCAAAGGACTGTCACCTTCAGGTTTCAACAGCAATATTTTAGCAATTTCATAAATATGTATTTCAAACAAATATGTATTTCAAACAATGGGGAAATGTTATTCTGTGGACCTTTATCGCAACAGTTCCCTAATGTTGGAGTTTTTACAAATTTACTTTTTATGCAGCCAAATGCCACCATCTCATTACAGTTTAGCTTTTAGTTGGTAGATTTACAGTATTTAATTACTCCCAACACTCATGCTTCTTCCTTCTAACTCATAATGACACCAAATGCTTATCATTCCCTTTGTATCTTTAAAGCTGGGGTACCTGTTTAACTAGTCTATTAACTATTGAACAAACTCCTGGCTCTCAAAACGGTTTCCACTCGCATATTTTTACAACTGGACCCGCTGGTTTTTTGTTGAAGAGGGAAGTAGAGATTATCCCTTAGCCCTGTGAGTCAAATACTGACTCAGAGGGCTTCTGGCAAATGCTTTCTACTAAGGTGCAAACCGCATCTTATGGTCTGGTTTTGCAATGGCTCTTTCTGTGGCGTCAAACAAAATTGGTACCCCAGCTTTAATGGAACAGACTCTACTGTGAGCTATCTTTTATAATGTGTGCATTATCTAGACCCAGTGCAATGCAAGTAGGAAGTATGTACTATTTGTATCATGAATGTGATTAAATTAAGGATGCGCAATATCGAGCTGTATTTGAATGCTGAGGTCGCAAGTCGGGTTAGATGGCGGGTCGTTTTAACACACCAGCCCCTCTCTCTCACACTGGCACTCAAAGGAAGAAAAATAGACAAAGAACAAATGGGAAAAAGTATGTCATGCAATGCTCACATATTCTTCAAACAAAAAAATAACGTGACTTGAATATGAACAGACACAGACATATGAGGAATTTCCTGTGTGATGTCTAAAACAGGCTTTGATCATAGCGTTGGTGCTGCCTGTTTCTGACTGGTAGCCTATTTGTGGTTTTGGGTTAAATTCAGTTTTGTCTGTCAGATTTCACGATAGGAACTCATTTACAGACAGTCATTCATTCACTGTATACATCTGTTGTTTGGTAATACTAGTTCTTATCTTTAAGCCTCTCTTTAAAAATGATTAATAGCTCATGGATTACAAACGTGTGCGGCAATGTAGGCCAACAAACCTTTCATCAAACGGAAATATGGCAGCAAACTATCAATGAATATATGGTAATATGCGTAAAATGTAATGGCTTTGAAATCTGTAGGCTCTCACACTCTCCGGGGGGAGCACTTCTCTCTTCTCCTTTTCCTTCCTCATTCATTTTCAAACCATGAGCGAGACTCAACTCGTCACTTTTCACATTAATCTCCTCTTCATAAACGCTATTCCTACGAGTATTTTTTTCATTATTCTACTCAACTATCAAGGCATCCTGGACTGTACATTCTGTGTAGTGTTGCGTTGTTGTCAGTTGAATGCAGTAACGTGTGTGGCGTCAGTGAGGGGATGGACAGTCAGAGATAAAGAAGAAGTAAGTTGCTCTTCACAGCCTGCTAGTTCAGTTTGTGCTCATGGATTTTTGAGAGTAGGTAAGTCTGTTGAGATTTGTGATTTTTGTCAAGGCAACCAGGCAATACATGCAGCTTTATGTTACTGACAAGATTTGCTCAACGTCATTTGAGAGGCACTAGCAAAATCAAATCTACACTGAAACAAAAGAACCCAATGAAATGCTGGGTCACAACTGTTTCTATGATAGTTTTGTAGTTTTGTGGGATTTAATTGGTGTGATAGTAAAGCATCTTTGCAATTTGACACTCTGTTTAGAGAAGGATATTATTTTTGGCCATGAAAATGATATTGATACTAGTTAGTCAAAAAAGTGCATTTTGTCTCTCTGTCACCATATATTATCGACTTAAGATGTTATTCCACATTCTAAAACATTCAATGATTAATGTTTTTTTGTGGTTCTTTTGAAAGGCAAGTTAAATGTTGTAGTTATTAGCATGTTTGTCTGCAGAGCTGCGAACCTACTCCCGCCTACTCAGGAAGTAAAATCAGCTGAAATGACACGAGGCTCTGCAGCCGAAACATGTTAAGGTGATATATCTGACTTGTCTTTCAATAAAATCACCAAAACATTTATCATTTCATGTTATAGAATGTGGAATAACATAGGTATAAATAACATAACATTAGTAAACTTAGGTTGAAAATGTATGGTGAAAATAGTATAAAGGGTCAACAATGTTTTCTTTATGTATCTCCCTGTCCTACCACCAGGGGGGATTTCAAGTTAGAAAATTACCGGCTGACAATTACAACCATGTGATTGTAAAGAGCATAAATTCACCCTAGAAATTGTCAGAACTAGTTTTGTATACTTGCTGATGTAATGGTGGGACAATGACATCATACTCTTACAGGGCGTAAACAGGAACTTGTTATTTCCAATGTAAATGAAAAGATTGGAAATATTCAGGCCAAAAAGCACCTGGCCCACGTACACAACAGCATATTCAAATCAGGATTCAACATTTATCATTCTGCTTTTTTCTTTTCTTTTCTTCTCTTGTGTCCATGCAGGGTGCGCTGTGTGTAGATGTGTGACAGTGGAGTGTGTGAGGACAAGCCCCCCGCCCCCCCTGTCAGGATGAGTAGCCAAGGAGGAGCCAAGGACCCTCAGTCAGCCAATCACAACTCGCGCCCACTGCCCTCTGTGCCCGAGGAGAGGAAGTCCAGGAACAAAATCATCTCAATGTTTGCGTCTGAAAAAGGTGGGACCGGACTTGAATAATGCGACCCATTTATAACTAGTAGTTTTGCTAAAATATGAGCAGATATCTCTTAACTTTCTTGCCTTTAGTATGGTCTTCATCTTTGAAAACATTTGCATAATTGGGAGAAAGTGCCTTGTTGGGTCCCTATTTGATGATTCGTGCTGGGACCTGATTGCCTCAACAAGAATCCTCTCTTTTTTAATGTTTCTGTCTGAAAATGTTGATCTTAAGATATAATAGAAGCCAAACAATATATGCATAGGAAAACTGTAAAACCAATTTACCAAACTGTTTTTTAGTTCATGTATTTGGAGTTTTAAAGTGTAACCCCAGCTTTAGATGTGACATGGTTAAAAATCTGACTAGTCAGAGTAAAATAGTATTTAGAGTGAGTAGTTATCTGTGTTGCACTTCTGATTTGGTTGATCAAAACAGTAGTGTGACGGAAACAGGGAACTTTAAAAAATATATCTGATGCAATATCTCAAGGAGGGTTCCAAATTCCAAATTAAAAATGGCCATAGTTACTGGCAAAGTGTGTTCTCTTTTTAGATGAAAGAGTGCATGAAATTTTGAGAAATGTTATCAGTCTTTTTAGTAACAGACCTGTTTGTGTTTTGTCAAAGGAGGCAGAAAGAAGGACCGCGACAAGGACAGACCAGAGATCTCCTCCCCCTCAGATTTTGAACACACGATCCACGTGGGATTTGACTCTGTCACTGGAGAGTTCACGGTACGACTGCTTTGCAATTAAATGAATTAATATACTACTTTCTATAGATCTTTTTGTTATTCAAGACAATATGTTATTGACTAGAGAGAGTTTGTTCTGTTCAATACTATATCTTATTATCTTATTTGTCTGTGCTCACTGCTCCACGCATTCATCTAAAGGAATTCTGTACAGTTGGGTTGGTTGGGGGAATCTGATTGTGCAACTACTATGAAATGGTTTGTGACTATGTATCTCTGGATTCACCCCAAGAATGAATTTTAGACTCTAGTCTCAGTTGTGGTCATTTTCTGCATTATTCATAGCTTTTTTCTACTGCATTATTCATCAAGGGTTTCCTCTCTGTCTGTATGTCTGTCTGTCTGTCTGGACCCGACAAAATCCTTTCTCTTCAATGAATAAATTACATTAATAAGTTCTGTACCTATGCTCCACAATACAACCTTGTACCCGTGTGCATCACTGGTATGAAAGTATAAACTGGAAAGACCTTACTAAATATGCAATAACTACAAAGTTCAACATTTAAACAAGAGTGCAAATTACAAAATTGTTAAGTCAACTTGGGAATTAAGTGTATCTTATTGGACAGACACCAAGAACTCTCAGAGACCAAACCGAGCTGCTTTCACTTAAACTGTGGTCACTGGTTGCATTATTCATGGATTTTGCGGCTTATTCAGCTTTAGCGATCTCCCGACTGCATTTTTCACTATGGTCTGTCTGAGTCACACTGTCTGTGTTTGCGCAGGGCATGCCAGAGCAGTGGGCTCGGCTCCTTCAAACCTCCAACATCAGCAAATCGGAGCAAAAACAAAATCCTCAGGCCGTTCTGGACATTCTCAAGTTCTACGACTCGACCAGTGGAAAGCAAAAGTATCTGAGTTTCTCTGCCTCCGGTCAGTGCTAATAAATAAATATCAATCTCACATAATATTGAAATGTTTTTGGTCCTAACACAAGAATTTGGTTTGTTTTTAGATAAAGACTCGCCCTCGGTAAGAAATGATTTGTTTTTTAAAGGACTGATTGAAACGACTGATTTTTGGGCAAAGGTATCTAACTTTCAAACCGTAAAGAATATAAGTTTAGCAACAAAATCATGAAATGCCAAAATGCCAAACTGTACTCTTCTATGTCCACAACGGCATAAACATGACCTGATTCTTGATGTTTAATTTAATGGAATTAATATATTATTTATTTTAGCCTGGAAAACAAGGCAGCGATAAAACATCAGGTAAAGATGGAGATGACGATGATGACGACGACACTCCTCCTCCAGTTGTGGCTCCGAGACCAGAACACACAAAATCTGTAAGTCCCCAACTCATGCTGTCAAAATGCACAAATGCAACGCAATGTTTGTTTTGTTGTTTTCTGTTTTAATGTAATCAGTGTTACAGATTTAATTTTGTTTATGTCACCATAAATACACATTAAATGGTCATATCAGCTGAAAATCAGTTCATTTCATGTCTATTTAACTTTATATTGTCATTCAAGTCTATAGACATGAATTATTGAATATGAATTGCATCATATTTTATTAATTAAGCTTGTGAATTAAATATTTCATGTGTTATTGCCATGCTGTAGATGTACACAAGGTCCGTGATAGACCCCATCCCTGCTCCAGAGGACGCAAAAGCAGTCGACAGGAAGAAAAATAAGGGAGGGAAGATGACGGACGAGGAGATCATGGAGAAACTGCGTATGTGAAACTTCTGTATTTACTGAACATACAAGTTTCAAGCATTAATCATTTTCTTTTGTTTTTTTATTAGGTACAATTGTTAGTATTGGAGATCCTAAGAAGAAATACACCAAATATGAGAAGATTGGACAGGGGTAAGAATACTTCAGTCTAGTTGTTAAGGTCTGGATTTAAAGCTGGGGTTCCCAACTTTTTTCTTCATAAATAATACATTTTGTTTGTCTTTTTATACTTGTAAGAAAGAGCCGCAATAGTCACAATTTGACAGTTAGGGCTGAGACACGATTAGCTGGGTTTAAGACCAAAGAATTTAGAAAACGAGTGATAGAAATCTGTTTGGAGAGATAGGAACTAGTTAGATAGAGTGAATTAGATAGTTACATTTATCACCTTTTGTGAATGCAGGTACCCTAGCTTTAATCATTCAATCAAAGCTGTTGCACAAAGTATGAATACCAGAATTTATAATGGCAATTAGTAAATGCCACAAATAATGAATCTTTTTGTGGTTCTTGCAGGGCATCTGGCACAGTTTACACAGCTATAGATGTTGCCACTGGGCAGGAGGTAAGTCTATACATATAACATGTAATATGCAGAATAACACATTTATGGGGTATTAAACAAACTAATCTTGTTTGCTCTGCAGGTGGCTATCAAACAAATCAATTTACAAAAGCAACCAAAGAAAGAGTTGATTATAAACGAGATTTTGGTGATGAAGGAAATGAAGAATCCAAATATTGTCAACTTCTTAGACAGGCAAGACCACACCACTGAATATTTCAATGAATGGACTGTGATTTCTGTGGTTTCATATGTAAAGCAGGCGCATGATAAATATCTAAAACCTGTTTGTGTTTTTAGTTTCCTTGTAGGAGACGAGCTCTTTGTGATAATGGAGTATTTGGCCGGAGGATCGCTCACTGATGTTGTGACTGAGACGTGCATGGATGAGGCGCAGATAGCAGCCGTTTGCCGAGAGGTGAAACTAGTCATTGTTTTTAGTTGTATGTTTTTGGTTAAAAGTGTGTTATATTTTTAATCTGCTTCTTTTAATGAAGGTCATCCAAGCGCTAGAGTTTCTCCACGCAAACCAAGTCATCCACAGAGATATCAAGAGTGACAATGTGCTGCTGGGAATGGACGGATCTGTCAAACTAAGTATGATCTCAATATGTGAAATCTGCTTCTTGTAAACGCATATACTGGTAATTTTACATGGGTATTTTTCTTCTATATAACATATAAAACTAATTCAAGTTTTTGTTCATGTTCTAGTATTCTATCTCAGGGGGTAGGTATCAATTCAGTTCTATGCTAAAGAAGCACTTGTTTGAAAAAGAAAATGTTATGTCCTTTTTATTGCCCAGCGTCTTGTTTTTGAATAATTGCAACTTCTAGACAGAAAATTAATTAGACCATAGTTGCTATGTGCTGACAAAGAATATGTGGAACCATTTTAATTTCATGTGGATTGGCCCAGGAATGAGAGAAATTGGCTCTAAACAAGTTAGTAGAGAATGTGTTTCAACTGCCCTACGCCATAATATTAAGCTATGGTCTCTTTTGGAATGTTGTGATGTCACATGAACACAACCTATTGAACCTTTTTTTGAAATCTATAGTCATCAAAAGTCATCATCTTTGTCTGAGCAATTGAAACAGGAAGTGTTCCAGCATAATTCCTTCCATTCTCTTCACACTTTTACTGGATATGGGTTTTACTCACGTGTACATACTGTAAAAGGCATTATAGTAAAATGTTTTAAACAAACCAATATTTATTTTTGTAGCACAAGAACTAAATTGGAACTAAAACTTGAATACATCCTTGGCTTGACCAGGGCTAAAACAAGACCGAACCGGAACAATGTGAACACGGCTTAAAGTCCCCCACCACCACTAACTCTCCTTCTGATATTTCTTCTCTTTGCAGCTGATTTTGGCTTCTGCGCCCAGATCACTCCAGAACAGAGCAAACGCAGCACGATGGTGGGGACCCCGTACTGGATGGCCCCCGAGGTGGTTACCAGAAAAGCCTACGGCCCCAAAGTGGACATCTGGTCCCTGGGAATTATGGCCATAGAGATGGTGGAAGGGGAGCCCCCATATCTCAATGAAAACCCCCTCAGAGTAAGTGAATATTTCTTTACAAATAAATAAGAATGTGGTGGCCTCTGGTGGTGATTCTGAGAACTGCAACAATACATTCTTTATCCCATAGTCCTTCTTCAATGTTTAAAGGGGAAATTTAGTGATTTTTCTCCCAATAAATTAGTTACTTTGTCCTATTTTCTCAGGCTTTGTATCTAATTGCAACCAATGGGACCCCAGAACTTCAGAGTCCAGAGAAGCTATCGCCTGTTTTCAGATCGTTTTTGTCTCGCTGCCTGGAGATGGATGTGGACAAGCGAGATTCAGGACGAGAACTACTGCAGGTAATGAAAGATGTATCTAATGTAGCAAGAAAACAAACATTCTTAAATTGTTTAAAGGGTACGTTATTTATGATGGATTATAATAGTTTGATCATCTCTCTTTCATCTTGTTGACAGCATCCATTTCTGAAGCTGGCCAAGCCTTTGTCCAGCCTTACTCCGCTCATCTTGGCCGCCAAAGAAGCTATGAGGAGCAACCGCTAAACATAAACCTAAAGGACTTTTCACTCCTTGATTTGGCATTCTGGATAATTGTGTTTTTAAGTTTACTTCCTTTAGGACTACTTGCATAATGTCGTTATTCAGTTACTTCCTGGTGGGTCTTATTGATAAAGCACATACAACTCCATCATTAGCATCAGCCTTACAGAATCTGTAAAATATTCCTAACCTGACTTTGTTATCAAGCATCATAGCAAATCTGGTACACATGTAACTTTTCGAGTCCCAATGGCTGTTTCCAAAAATGCCTTCAGTATTTTTTAGCCACTTGCCTGTAATTCAATCAAAGCCAAGGAGATTTAAAACATTCCAGGTGAAGCAATAACATCACTATGAAACGTCTACCTGAAAAGTTACACTGTGGGCCTTTAAAATGTCAATTACTGGAAAACAATCCCCACCAATCATAAAGAGTAGACCGTTGTCAGTAGACCCAGGTCGCCACCTTCAGGCAGTTTTGAATAATACGTCATTCCCATCTTTGTCAAGAACAATTATTTCTCCAGAGAAGTTGTTTCGGTGCTGCATTTCTTCTCGTCACATTGCCTTATTTTCTATTATTATTAGTGTGACCAACGGAAACATGGTGTCATTTCTATTTTATTTTATTTTTATGGAGATTTATTTTGTATTACAAATAGATTCCATGTTTTTTTATATATATTTGTAAGTAGTGTAAACTGCTTTGTCAAAATCTTTGGGACGTTATGATGAAGTTTTGTGCAATTTTTAAACCAGAAACTGTTTTTGAAAATCATCGACACTTCTTGTAGTAATTTAAAGTTTGTTCAAAAATAAATGTGTCTTAAGGCAAGACACTCTTTTTCCTATACTTTTTGTAAGTCTTATTTCTAATTTACTGAAGTAGGTCACTAAATAATTGGTGTCTGCCAACAGAACTATGCAAGAAATATATCCATCCATGTATCATGTCATGACAACACATTTAACCTACTTTTTTTTTGTTTTTTTTGGCTTTTTTTCTTGAATGTAAATAGTCAATTCTGCTTTGACAAATCACTCATCACTCAATTTGTGTCATTTTGTGTTCTTTTGTTCTATCAGTGAGACATTATTCTTCTGTTCTTGACAATTGGAAGATTTTACAAGAATTAATTAGCACTAAATTGTTACAAAGACAGGAGACACCAAGAACTTGACTAGAGATAGATTCTTTATTGATCCCCCGTAGGAGAAATTCAGGTGTCCAGTAGCAGCAAAAATAAAATCGATCATTCTAAAAATAAAACTAACAATAGTAAACATCAGCAACAGCCCTTTCAGGTCACAGCAGCGGAGATGGAGTAGCCTCGGGATGGAGCATGAGACTTTCTTGATTGTTTAACATGATGTGACATTAATACAGCTAGGTCCAAACAAGGGCTCTAAGAAGTGCTTGATAGGTAGGCTTACAATTAACTATTGAGTGTTCTATAATGTGTAATGCAATCATGAAAGTGCAAAGGATAGACTGACATGTTGCAACATATAGGCCCTTTAAAATGCAACCACAGCTGCTTTAGATTATGACTGAGTTATTACAGATCATTGCTAACCAGGTTTAAAAATAACATTGTATATACTGAGACTAAACTAAGATTGTTTTAGCAAAAATAGCAATAGTTGAATGTGACAAACTATATAATATTACTATGAATGAATGCTGAAATAAGAACTTTTTCATCTCATTGGACCAATATTTGTGATATCATTTTCCGGCTATGTTTCCAGTGGGTCAGTTACACAGTCTCCCCAGACCCTCTTGGCTCGTTTGAAAGAGACTGTTTCTTTGTCATGTACAGTGAGCAGTGGAGTTGATGAGGACCTAAGTTGGAACCATCAAAAGCCTGGACAGCTTCCAAAACTATAGTATTTGATAAGGTAGATATCCGTGCAGCTGGTACTCCTGGACGCTACAACAGCAGAGGATCTGAACCAAACTTCGCACTGACCATCAGCACATAGAGGAAGGAGACGCAGGGTCTGTTTTGGGTTCTATGAATCTGGAAGGTCCACACAATGAAAAAGCACAGTATAAAAACAGTTCCTCATTCAGTTGACATGGGGAAGTATAGACGCACATAGAATAGAGTGGTTCTCTTATTCTGGGGTGGCAGATATTACACAATGTTTTTGGGAATTTTCAACTTTCTAATTACAAACCATTTTTTATTAATCATAGTGTTTTTTGTCCCGGAGGTGTTTGTTGTGCCTTTCAAAATGATGCATTTGGGGGAAAGATACACATACACTCAACACCAAAAGGAAAGATATGGGTACATATACATATAATAACATTTTAACAAGCTTAATTTCCCCCACCTCTGCCCTACCCCACTCATACTGATGAGCACACTAAAACTGAACTTTGACAATGCATATTAAACACACCTCCCACATCACATGACAACATTGTAATATTTCTTGCTTGTTTATCCAGTTCTTCATGTTTCCAAGAAGGCTTCATGTCAAGCTTCTAAAAAGACTCACGACACAAAATGAATGTTCAGAGACGGAAAGCTTTAAAAACAACAATTCACATCACAAGTCAGATTTTATGGGTAAGTTTGTCTCCTTTATAATACATAGTAGATTATTTACTTCAGCGACAAGTGCGTTTTGCAGCTGATGATGCACACCGCTTGGAATCAGTCAAAGTAGGAATGTTCACAAATGCTATCGGGTAATGTTTTCATGGAATGCCCTTGTCCATTAATTTACACAATATTTTTGGTTGTAAATAAAGACCAGTAGGCCATGCACTTAAAGCTGGGGTACCTAACTTTCAAACCACAAAAAAAGAACTATGTAATACAAAATAACTAGTTGGCTTTATTGCTTTGCTTCGTTTCAGATGCATTTCTTTTTGGCCATGGAACATCTTTAGATCAGCTTTTTCACTGAGAAAGTGCCGGCCTCACTCAGTCTCAATCAGCTCTAAGATAAAATGTTTTGATGAAATATGTGGTGATCGGATCTATTTACAGGACTTATAGTTTGGATAAACAAACATAATTTTCAATATTTTTCTTTCATAATTTTAGGTTTGACTTTTGTAATTATCATACCTGCTTATATAAATAACTAAAAAAAGATACATTAGGAGGGTAAATGTCTCTTGGCTCGAACCTTTTTTCCTGGTTAAAAAAGGTTAGAAGAAAAAAACACAGATAAACAAAATTGAATGAAAAAATTGAATTGCACTGTTAAAAAAACTCACAACTGTATTCCTCCAAGTCACAACAACTGTATGCGGTACCTTTCCTATTCCTAGTCATCTACCTTTCCTCTCTACTTGTTTAGTTTTTTTCTGCTATAAAAAGTAAACAATTTCATCTTTATACAATGTGGAAGTGTTGTGTTCTTAGATGTTGTGTTTGTGTCAGCTAGTGGGTGTGACGGTGGGCCTGGTTGGACTATACCTGTTGCTGAAGTTCAGACAGAGCAGCATATTCTTCGCCACCTCCTCTTTTATGATGCTGCCAATCTTGGTTACCTTCGCCACCGCTGCCTCACTGTTGGTCACTGGATTTCTGGGCACATGGGTCAGCACCAGAGATTCAAAAGAGCTGCAAGGATTGGTCAGTGTCTAAATTAAAAAGAATCTCCATCACCACCTATTGTCTAGAATAGTATGACTTTGCTTGGCCTGGAAAGTGGATTGGTATTATAATCTTCTAGAACTGGATATTTTTCTGGCTAGACCTCATTCTTAGATGTTGTACTCTAATAAAGGTAAAGGGTGGAGTCAGTTATATATCTAAATGAAAACATTACCCCATCTATTCTATCGGTAAAACTACTTCTATATATGTTTGCAGTTTGTTTATCTCCTTTTTGTGGTGTTCTGTCTGGGAACTACAGCAGCAGCACTGGCCTTTCACCACTTCCATGAGGTACAATTTCTGTACATTGGCAATCCATTTTACTCAGTCTTATAGATGCTAACAAACAAATTTGACCTTATGACTTCAGCTGGATTCAGAAATACTTCCTCTTAGGGATGTGTTCAAGAACTACACAGGAAGCAGCCAAGATCAGAATTCACGAGCTGTGGACATATTGCAAGAATCGGTACACTTTCATTTGCATCCCACAATCTTACCCATAACTTCTCTAAAATAGCCTGTGCTGACTGTCACCTACATCATTCATTTTAGCAAGTGCTGTCTGTTGTTATAGATGGAGTGCTGTGGTGTTAGAGACTACAGTGACTGGACACAGACTTCCTGGTTCCATCAAAACGGAGGTATCGTTCTCCCTCGCAGCTGCTGCAATCCCCTCTTTGTCGACTGCGACGGCGATGTGCTCCAGCCTTTTTGCTTAAACCAAATGGTATGCCCAAAAGTCTACATGAAATGAAATATTAGAAACCACAACAAAATAAAATTATTAATGATTTTCAGCTACATTACATTTTAATTTCAACATTTCAAGACAAGATAAAACATCTCCAAGTACTTTTTTCAGGGCAGTCCTAAGAATAATTTAGAATAACCCATTAACCATATAACTGGTTAATGTAAAGGCCAATGGATAAGACATGATTAGGCTATGGTCTGTGTTGCTTATTTGTTATCACTATGAATCATTTAATCTTTATTAACTTGAAAATGTGCAACTACCCCTGTTATAGGGCTGCGAAATAGTGTTCAAAAACATGTCCCGCTTCCTTCTGAGGACTCTTATGTGGCTGTATGGAGCATTGGTTCAAGTTCTGGTAGGAAAACTCACTTTTTTCCCCCTCTTTCTGTAAATTACAAAACGCATGTTTCTTTAGTGGTTGTTCAATTTGGAATAAAATGTCCTTATTTCTTCCACACAGATTGTTTCTCTTGTGCCTGTTGTGATGCTGATGAAGGAACCTCTTCAACCATATCAGTCTTTGAGCAAACGCTGATGTGATCTATGCAACTCTTCATTTCGCAACAAAGAGGCAGCATCTTTTTTAAACAGTTAATTTACGCCAACTATACACTACTTCACATGAGGATAACAGACGATAAAATAACAGCTTCTGATATTTTTTAGAATCTAAACTTTAGAATGGACATTTTGTAACAATCGTGATGCGTACGGGGGTGTCTGATTTTAAATAAAATTAAAATAAAGCCTAAAACATAGCTGTATGTTGTCGTGACTAGTGTTTGTGCAGCAGTAGCAGCAATAGTAGACATACTTAGCAGGGGCAGTAGTCGTACAGTAGTGCAGAGGCGTGGCAGGTCGAGGGTTGGACGGCGACAGATCGTCACGTCGCATTTTCGTGTTTCTCCTCGGTCTTTCACTGTGAGCCCCTGTCGATGAGAAGCCAGGACTTATAGGAGGCGAGAATCGAGTCTCTACGAACCTGGTATGAAATATCGTTGCATTCTCGCGTATAGAGTCGGCCGCAGCTTCGCTTTTTTCGAGTGGTGTCTATAAATGAGGGAGATGAAGCTTTCGTGGCCTGTTGTTAGCATGTGTTAGCATGTGTTAGCTGTTTGTGCTAGCGTCAATGTTAGCCTCGTCTCAGGCCGCTGTTTTCAATGAAGGACGTTGTCTCCACATTTTATTATACCATTTCTGGGAGTATTTCTTCACACGTCTCTTCTACCTATGTTTTATTTTATTATCAGTCTCATGGTTTGTAACATGCCAATCATTCATTCATCCGCACGGACAATGTCGTAGCATTAGCTGCTACGTTGCCTTGGTGATCAGCCTGGGCCTGCGCGTGTCACATGCGCGTATTATTGACAAATAAAAGCATAACTTTAACTGATCAAAATGCATATGTTAGTAAATAGCTTACCAATAGCTTTCAAGCAGATGGATATTTTTTTCGTAAGGAGGCACGTGTTTGTATCTGTCCTGGGAAAGATGAAGGAAATAATTTCAATCAAACGTGTATATATATAACAACACTCAATATCATGTATGTGTGCACAGCAATAATTTCTGGCAAAAAAGAAAGCACTACCTGAGTATCCAGTATTTTGGAGTACGTGTGTGTATTTAGCAGTTTTGTCACAGCAATTTATACTATTCCATTTTTCTCAGCTTTCAGAGCAGTGAAGTGTCTTCATGGCAATTCGAGGACACTCAAAATACTCAAAAGTAAGTATTGTGTTTTAGTTTGTCTGAGCCCAAAATGTTTACTCTTCAGGAGTTAAGACAGAAACGTACAAGAAATACGCTTATTTATCAAAGCAAATTCATGCTGCTATGGGCAACGCTTTAAAACAGTGGCTCTACACACGGCCTGATCACAGCCGCACAAACCTTTCTTTCATGTTGGTGATTCCGAAAGCCCAGACGCCACAATTGCATCCCTCTTTTTCTGCATGAATGGATGCTGCAAGGTCACACTCACAACACTGCCTCCTAAACAGTAAAGGCTTCAGTAAACCACTTTAAATGCTACCTTCATACTGGATCCGAAAGTAAAATCTCAATAAAGAAAAATGCAAAAAATACTAGTGTAATTGGTAGTAAATCAATCATAATATAATAAATGCTCGAACACTTTTTTTTTTCCTCCCCGGATCTCAAAATGGTAGTGTATGCCCGCATCATCTAAACTTTAGGTAATGATGTAATTTCTGCAGTACTTAAAACAAGATTTTCAATTTTAAATACATTGTTTTTTTCTGTACATAAATCAACACCAAATTGTAGTAAAAACAGTGAAAGTAAATGCATACGTTCATGCGTACAATATACCTTGGTGCTATAAGCTAACCAAGATATTCATATATGCACAAGAAATATACTGGAGTAGGGTTGAGAATAATCCTCTTCATCACTACCATGTGTGTTATGGTGATCTATTGTTCTCTTTTGTTTTCTGTTAGCAGGAGGTATTTGAAATGTCGAACGGTTACGAAGACCACATGGGCGCGGATGGGGACAAGGATTCCAAGACCAACCTGATCATAAACTACCTGCCCCAGAGCATGTCTCAGGACGAGCTGCACACCCTCTTCAGCAGCATCGGGGAGGTGGATTCTGCCAAACTCATCCGAGACAAAGTACAAGGTAGGACCATCTTTGGAGGGATATTTTCACAGCAACCCAAAACGTGGTTAGCAGACCTGATGGAGTACCAAAAATAGGCCTACCCAAATTTTAGCATGTTCCTTTTTGACAAGTCTTGTTTTATTAATTCATTTATTTATTTATTAATTTATTTGCAGCCAGAGTTTTCAGAATTTGCAAATTTGTTTTTAAATGTCATATCTTCTTGCTTGCTCAATTCGGCCTTGTTTTCCAAATTATTTTACCCTAATGATAGAGCTGTTTTGTTTGTTTCTACTCTATTTCAATAGTTTTTCAATTTGTTTGCTTCAAATAGTCTCAATGTTTGGATTTGTTTTTTGCTTTTAATGATTTGTTTGTTTTTTTTTTTCACAGATTTTTTTGAAGTTTTTTTGTTTTTATTTTGTTGTTTTCCTTTTTTTTCCTCTAGGCCACAGTTTAGGGTACGGATTTGTTAACTTTGTAAACCCTAGTGATGCAGACAGAGCTATCAGTACTCTGAATGGACTAAGACTTCAGTCCAAAACTATCAAGGTAACGTGCCAACAAGGTGTTCTACAATTCTCAAAGCAAACTTGTTCATGTCATAACTCTCTTTTTGTGGCTCTTGTTTTGTCGCTAACTAGCTCTAGTCTCTGTACTGAGGCTTCTCCAGCTCACTGACCGCCCCCTGTGACATGTTTGTTTCAGTTTGCCTTTTTATTTGACTTATTTGGCCTTGTTTTCATACTCTTATGTACATCCATCTTGGGCTGGGCAATTAATACAGTCACATTGGTCAATTTCAACATGCCTCTGCAACCACACTATTTTAAGAATTGTTCATTTTCATTTCTATTCAGGCTGTCTGTAGTTTTTATCAGCCAGACTCTTCTGCATTCTGACATGTGTTCAAATGCAGAAGCACCTGAATATGTTGTATTCAAAAACAGTCCCACCTCTTGGCAAATCGTGTCATAGCAACACATCCGTAGGCCGCTAATACAATAGCAGAGGAAACAAAAAGGCAAGAGATTACTAACACTAATCAAATAGTATGACTCCTTTGAAAGAGGTTCTTAATCTCAATGGGACTTTCCTGGTTTAATAATTGATAAATAGATTAAAAAAAAAAAACATAATGCCCAGCCCTCTGTTTGAATTGTACCCCCTTCAACTATTCATTTATTTTATTATTTTGCTAATGTTTCTAATGCTTCCACCTCCACACATATTTTTTGTTGTTGACAAGGGTATTGTATTTTTTATGTACATTGAACATGACAGGATGAGTGACAATCTTTAGATCGGAATATCCTTACTAATATAGAAAATCTCATGATGAGACGTTTTTTAGAGTGGATTATTTTTTCCTCATGCCTTTGCTGCTTTTCTCTTTGTAGGTGTCTTATGCGCGGCCGAGCTCTGACATAATTAAAGATGCCAACCTGTACATCAGCGGCCTGCCCCGGGGTCTCGGCCAGAAGGACGTGGAGGACATGTTCTCCCGATACGGACAAATCATTAACTCCCGTCTGCTTATAGAACAGGGCACAGGTACGAAAGGTGATTGACGTCCATGCTATTATGTATATTTATTTATATATATGCTAATTTCTTTATTATTGTGTGAGAGAAACTTTTCAAAAATCTGTAAAACCAAAGCCAAATGTGTTTGCATATTTTGATCTATGACTGAGATGTGGCATAACATGTCAAAACTGTTGTATATAAATATGTCTCTAAGACAATCTGCAACCACACAACACTAAATATACTTTAAATCTAATCTGCATTTATGTTGTCCCCTCATAAATCCTTTGAATGAAATAATTAGTTGACTAAGCTAAACTTCTTAAGCAAATGTTTGGTTGAACTTGCATTTAATTCTTTTCTCAGGAGGGTCTCGAGGAGTTGCGTTTATCCGATACGACAAGCGCGCGGAGGCGGAGGAGGCCATCAAAAACCTGAATGGTCAAAAACCTCCTGGAGCCACGGAGCCGATCATCGTGAAGTTTGCGGCGAATCCAAACCAGATGAAGAACGCACAGCTCGCACCGCCGCAGGTTTTCCCCAACCCCTCGAGACGATTCGGAGGCCCACTGCATCACCAAGCCCAGCGCTTCAGGTGGGACATCTGTCTTTTGTGTCGGTGAACGGTGAGACATAAAAAAGGTAGTAAGTAGTAACATGTAATAGGCATGTCATGATACAGTTCTCCAGTTATAGGTAAATTATTTTTTAAATCAAATTTCTCTTTGCTCAATGCCACCATAAGGGGGGTGTATGAAGTAGATTTAAATGTTTTTCACTCCATTTATCCATACTAATACAAAAAGTGATTATTTAATGCAAGTGTTTTGGCTGTTTAACAAGTTGAAGCCAGGACAGGATTAGCATATTTTCCTCTATCTCTTGCTCGACAAACCAGGGTAGAATGGAAGAGTACAATACAATGTTGTGTAACCACTCTTTTGCCCGGAAGTGAAAATGTTTCATAAGACCAGTCAATATGGGTCAATGTAATTCTGAGACCCAAAATAATTCATGCTCCATTAATAATTATAGTAATGCAGATGGTAAACTACTACTGTAGCCACAGCTGACCTGAGGCATACTGGAGGAAGTGAATCACCCCCTCATTCAACCAGAAGTCATTCACTCATACACCATATTCATATCATTTGCGGCAAACATCAACAATTAAATGTTTCTGGGTAGGGCTGCACGATATTGGAAATTAGAGCAATAATTGAGATTATTGAGATTGCGATAACAATTTTATTGCAATATTGTTTTCCTTTCTTGCAATCTGCATTTAAACAGAAGAGACAAATAACAAAAGACCTTCAAATCCATATTATTATATACTTTTTTGTTTGTTGTATTTGGTTTTTTTTTCTTTTTTGATGCGCATATCTTTGATATGGATATCGCACGCACCAATATCGCGATATATTTCGATATATTGTGCAGCCCTATTTCTGGGTATCAAACAATAAAGTAAACCAAATGTGGAGGTCCGCAGCTGCAGCTTGATCTTCTCGATCACTTGGATACAAGCTTTCCTTGTGTTTGTATTATTAAAAGGTGTCCTTTTCTTCATCCTAGATTCTCTCCGATGGGCGTGGATCACATGGGCGGGATGGGCGGCATGGGGGGCGTCCCCGGCAACAGTAACAACGGCTGGTGCCTCTTTGTGTACAACCTCCCACAGGACGCAGACGAGAGCGTCCTGTGGCAGATGTTCGGGCCGTTCGGCGCCGTCACAAATGTAAAGGTCATCCGCGACTTCAACACCAACAAGTGCAAAGGCTTCGGCTTCGTCACCATGACCAACTACGAGGAGGCGTCCATGGCGATCGGCAGCCTCAACGGTTATCGCCTTGGAGAGAAGATGCTGCAAGTGTCCTTCAAGACCAACAAAGGACACAAGTAAGAGCTGGACAATGGAGTGAGTCGCGTGGTGAGAAGCAGGCCACATTTACCAGGCTTTATTTTGGAAACAAGTTTGTAAAATCACTATACTGCACCTTTTTCTATTGCGTTTAAGAGTATTTGGGCAATTGTCTTTTTGACAGCTCCTGCAGTTGTTTAGAACATCGATTGAAAAAAGTGTTAAATACATGCCGGTTTTGGTGTAAACTAAATGTAAAATATGTCAGTTAATTGTTCTTAAGGATTTTAATGGTAATTTATAATCTAAAGAAGAGGGCAGATGTTCCTCAAATCCTTCTTATTTAGAAATAGTTGCCTTAAAATATCATCTTAAAGATGCTGCCTCCGGTTTGTCAAAGAGCAAAGCGCTTTTAATGAATAGCATAATATCAACGACTCACTACTTATATCAAACAGTTATATGAACCTGTGGTTCGTGTTTAAATCTCAAAGTGGATTTATTTTAGTTTGTCAAATATAATGCCCAGCGGGAAGTCTGGATGGACCAAAGGAGGTTTTCAGCCTGGACTAGAAGACTTTGGAAGTTTGTGGAAAAGAGGTACTTTAATTTGAAAACTGACACTGAGTAATATGTGTTTTTTTTTTTTTTTTCTGGTTGAGGGTTACCTGCTTGTCTCCATGGAGATGTTATAGCTTTAGCGCTTGTGTTCCACTATACGGCATTAAACTTGTTTTCACAAAGACAAGTGCAATTCACTCTACCAGGCTTCGTTTTAGATCAGATCTGTGGAGTCCTATTTTGTAAGAGTTCAAAATATCAAAGTTGTTTTAATGCCGGGAAACATTCTCTTCAGAGACGAGCAGAGAGTGAACCAAGAAAGGGCACATAGTGCCCCTTTACGTTTGCAGTTTTTGTTTTGTTTTTGTCCATTTTGAATTATTTTGATTTTATTTTCTTTCTGAATTATTTAGATTTCCTTACATTCAGTTTGGTTTTGTTTAATTTCCAGCAGTTGGCTTTTACTAAGTGTTCCCGAGTGCTTCAAAAAGAAACTGCTTTGTTATTTTAGTTTTGATTACTTTCTCTTATTTTGATGTTGGTTTTTTTTTTGTTTAATTTTCAACAGAAATCATTAAATTTTATTTTGTTTTCATCCACTCTTTTGTTTGGTTTGTTTATTTTTAGTATTTTTCTTTTAGCACACTTGCATGAGGAAATTCTGCGTACAACAAAACGCAATGTTTAGCAGATCAATCTATTTGGATTGGTGGGGTTTACTGAATTCAGGGTTTAAAGTAAACTCATTCAGTTAGGGTCAGGGTTAGTAACCCTTAGGGTTTAAGTGTTTACCCACTAACCCTGAAAGCAATGTTTTGCAGATTAATCTATTTAATTCCTTTTTTATGATTTTTGACTTGGTAAATCATACACATTCTGTAATTTATGACATGCGCATTATTAGTTTAAAAAGTTAATCATTCAGACTTGATCCAAACATGCTGCGTTTGTGGCAGAAACAGATCTTAGAGAAGGGAATCTAAAATGTAATTTGATACCTCCTCTGTTAATTTGTAAAGGTAAAGAATGATTGTAGGTGGGCATAATGAAAAACACATAGCCCTTTTTAACTAGTATTTGCCGATTGCATGTTTTAACAAACCATTAATCATAGTCTCATTAATCATAGTCTCCTCTACTACAGTCTCTGGTCTCTGGCATGCTTACTGAGGCTGGGAAACTCACTTTTATTCTCAAGACTAGAATTTATTTAAATGTGTCTTAACTGTTTGATCAGTGACTGACATTTTGATCATATCCGTGTTGTGTTTGTGAAGTAGTTTTAGTGTTGACATTATAACACATTATATTGAAAAATGAAACAATTTAAAAGTCAGCAATAAATCCACTACTGGCGTTATGTTTATTAATTTATAAAGTCTTATAGTTGCTTCCAGTTCATGACAACAGAACTGGAAATTTACATGACTTGATAATAGAATTTAGAATATTTCATTCCTATAAGTTGATTTAAGCTTAACTTGACTGATTATCCGTTTTATATTTATTTTCAGGAAAACAAATTATAAATGCAGTTAATACGTCTATTTCAACCAGTGCTACAGCCAATAATTATTTTAGCACTCGAGTAATCTATCAATTTTACCTTTGATGAATCAATTATTTCTACTTTACATAAAACATACTTAACCGAAAATTCAATTTGTTTGAACAATCTCTATTTTCTAAAACACTCACTTCATAAAGAAACTTCCTAAAGCTGGCGTACCTAACTTTATTTTCTCATAAATGATACAAGTTCTGTGTCCCAACAGGAAGTCTTCTAACAGGAACTATCGTCAGGGATAGGACCTTATCATGTTCTATTGTAATTTGAAAGTTAGGGACCCTAGCTTTAATGTCTGGGGTAATTATGAAATGTCATTATTACGACTAAAGGTTTAATCAAGTTATTGAAATGGCAATGAAAGCTATTCTGTAATCAAATAATAGTGATTACTGCAATTGTTTCATTATTATCAACTGCGTTCAAAGCTTCAGCTATTTTGTTCTTAATTGTCAATCACTATGACGACAGTCCATATCTCATCATTCTGACACCTACAGTGAACGCAGCCTAATGTAAAACACAAACTTGAGAAATATGACTGATTACGTTCCTCTTCCACTAAATATTTGTTTCTACAGCGCGTCTGTTAAAGTATGTGTAATATATGTATTTGATGTTATTTAAGGATCACACCAGATCTAGTACGTTGTGGGAAGGGGGCGGGCCATTTAGAGGTGCAGCTAATTATAGAACACATTTACATTTTGCCTTAATTTAAGTGTCTTGTTTACATTAAAGAGTATTTATTTTTGTTGTGTCACGCTTCACCTTTGCTTTTATCAATGGCTCTACGTTTGTTTGAAACTGATCGTTCTTTTATCTCTAATGTGTGGCTTAGAAAACTCAGTGGTGTTTTTTGTAGTACATTTTTTGACAAAGTTCTTATCCAGTTATTTTTTGTTACAAATTATACATTGCATTTTTAAATGTAAAACAATCATCAATAAACCTACACATGTTGAAACACATTTGTAATTCAGTTTTATTACGTTTTACCAAGTATGAAATACGTGGAAATCTTACATTTGTTCCCGCAGACTGTCTCACTCTTAATTGCAACGGCTCAGTCGAACTGCCGGTCATTAGGCTTGAGGACATTCTGTTTGGTTTTCCAGTCTATCCTACTGTCCATCGAGTGAACATGACAACATCCTCAAGTCCATCATAATCACTAGGGGCAAGTTTTTCTAATGTGAATCAGTCCAGTTTCTCAGGTCTCTATACTGGCTTCCTGTGGCACAGAGAATAGATTATAAAACGGCTCTGCTTCTGAACAAGTCACTCCAAAATACAACAGAGACATGTTAGTGCCATATGAACCAACTTTGACTCTGAGGAGCACAGGGACTGGCCTCCTACTGGTGCCCACAAAACATGGGGAGGCTTTATGCAGCTACAATCTGGAACAGTCTTTCTGAAATTGTGAGACAAGCTTCGTCTATGAGGTTCAAATCCAGGTTAAAACAGTTCTGATCTGAAGGATTTTATCTTTACTCTTTTTAATGTACTGTACATATGATTTTATACCTTTTGCGACTGTTTCTATCTTGTTTTGTTAAGCACTTGCCTTGTGTATGAACTGTGCTGTACAAATAAACTTGCCCTGCCTTGCCTGAGCAATTCTGCCATTTTGCCGCTAAACAAATTATTAAAATCAATCTAAATACTGCATGATAAAAACAGATTAACACATGGTTATTCATTGGACACATACACATAGTGCTTGTATTTCATTTGGTGCTGTTCCCAATCCCTCTTTCCAAACGGCAATCTTCTGAGCTCTCTTTCCTCAAATACGAATCAATATGGAGAGAAACAAGTAGAGAAACAAGAGAGAAACCCTTTACACACTCCAGTATTACCCCACTCTTTGCACCGCTCACTCACCTATAAAGGAATAGACTTCTACAGATTGTCCAGCAGCCAGTTAATGTAGTGTTTCTGAGCTCTCTTTCCCACTTCAAACAATGCAGCCATAGAAAAACATCCGTGAAAGCCTGCCTCATGATGAACACTGGTGACCTGGACCCCAGCGTCCTCTAAGCGCCGCGCATACATCAATCCATCATCTCTCAACACGTCAAACTCGCAGGTCATGATGTAAGCTTTGGGGCATTTGGACAGCACCTCTGCGTCAGCCAAAAGCGGAAAGGCGCGGACGTCTAAAAGAGCGGGTATCTTCTCTAGAATACCATCCAATCCTTTGTCTGCTACCACCGGTTTGTAGTTCTGACGATGCTTTGCTGAGAGCAACCGGGTCCAGTCAAAACGCGCTCTTAGTTCAGGGGTGAGAAGAGACTGCTGCTGAGAGCTGTGGTGGTTTGCCAAAACTTGGTCCAACAGAGAAAGGTCCACTCCCAAATACTGCATCCAGAACTTGGCCAGGGCGGACAGAGGAAGCACAGGGCCTCTGCTGTTTTGGATATATGACGGAGTGTTGAAGTCCAGAGCCTGGAGAGCAGGGTAAATCAAAGCCTGGACCCGGAATTTGACTTTCACGCTGGAGTCTTGGGAGATCTGTGAATGAGCAGAACAAATTATCTTAGCGACTCAAGATCTTGGTCTTTAATACAATGGGGGCAGTAAAATAAATATTGGGACTGTATTCCTCTTACAATACTATACTTAAACTAGTTTGTCAATGTTGCATGTGGCAAAGATAATGTGCTGGGAACCGAAGAAGTGGCTTGGTAAGAAGCATTTCAAGGTCCTGGAGTGGCCGAGCCGGTCTCCAGATCTCAACCCCATGGAAAATAATTGGAGAGATCTGCATGGAGGAATACCAGCAACAATATTCCTCCAATTGCCTCCATGCAATACTCAAGAAGTATTGAGATGGAATGTTGTTATTGACTGAATACTTTTTACAACATCATTTTCAAAGACATTCTAAATTTGGTATTGTTTAGTTTTTTGCATAGTTGAGGTTAACCTATGTTAAAAATTTACAAGCATTTCATCTTTTTAAGTGGAAGGACATTTGCTGGCTGACACATGTGAAAACTAGTGATAGAACAAAACCATTACGGTAGATTTCATAGCTCCAGTTTTGTGGTCTGAAAGTTAGGTACCCCAGGTTTAACCCCAACTTTCATTGTAGATATACTGCTTTTTTGTCTCTCTTTTTTTTCCTTTTAGGCTCCCAACAGGAGTGGGGGGATCAGGGGAGGGGCGGGAGTGGGTGATTTTTTTTTCTTCTTTAGAAGTAATGGGTCTAGAGAATGGGTCAGAAGTCTAGACAGGAGACCAATGGTAGTGATATTTAGACTTAGAATTTACTGTCCTCAAAATCTGTATGTGTGGAAATAAGAAAATGCTGATAAATGATACGCACCTCCTGGGACACTGCTGCAGCCAGGTTTCCCCCGGCGCTGTCTCCGGACACGGCCACTCGCTCCGGATCCACAGAGAGTCTGGACAAAACCTCTGCAGACAGGAAGTGCTTAGCTGCAGCGAAACAGTCCTGGTACGGCACCGGGAACTGCACCTCTGGGTAAAGACGGTATCTACAACATCAATGAAAATGAAGCTTACTCCAAATATTGTTTGTTTGTTTGTTTATGGATGTGTTTTTGCTGCTGGACACATGAATCTCTCCTACAAGGATCAATACAGTATCTATCTATCTATTTATCTATCTCGCTGGCCGTAAGAGGGAAATAAACACAATATTCAAATAGTACACAGCTAAATATTAATATAGATAAAAAATATTCACCTTCTATAAAGTATAATAGAGTTGTAATACATTCTTTCTGTATAGCTACTTACTCCACAGACACCACTACTGCGTTGAGCTCCTTAGACAGGATACGACAGTCTTTTTCATAAGCTCCGATCTCTGGAAATGCACAAGTGTATTTATTGTTAGTCTTACAAAGATTGTAATTTTACAATGGATGGATCATTCATAAATCTTGTACTATTTCTGTTTTATAAATATATTTTGTTTGTCCCAACAGAAATAATTTTGTTTAAGTAACATTTTCAGTCACAACATGCTGTCTTCATCTTTTCAGAAAGCTGTGTGTGTTCCATTTACTGAGAGCTGATGGCCTGAGTGAGGGCTGGTCCTTTCTTTTTCACAATAAAATGGAAGCTTGTGAAAACTAGAGATAAAGGTTTGAGAATGAGGCACCAGGAACATAGTAACATGGTTTTTCATTTCATTATAGTGTGATTTCAAAGTTTGGTGTCATGGTGTGGACTCTTTTTATTGTTACCTGGTTTTATTTTGATATATTCACACTCTTGTTGAGTTTGAGTTTTACTTCCTGTCTGTCCTGTTGATTGTTTGCCCCACCCAGATGTTGTTATTCTGTGTCTCCCTGTGTGTATTCAGACCCTGCGCTCCAGTCCACCTGTTGTTGGCCCATTGTTGTTTTTTCTCCATGTATTGTCCCTGGTTTTAGTTTTTACTTTTCTTGAGGCATTATATTAATTTGCAGTGTTGCTTTTGGGTCCTTACTTGTTTTATCTCGTGACCAAATGTGATATGAACTGTCAAATAAAAACACTAGTTGACTTTGATATCAAGTTTAGAATGTTTTAGGGGGCTGCAAAGTAATTGTAATTGAGTGTGGATTTTTTTTTTTTAGATTTAGCAGGAGTTTTATACATCTAAAATGCTTCTCACTACTATGCACACTTACTAGCACTGCCCAGGGCCCATCCGCCTCCGTGGAAGTACAGCAGGCCTCTCTTCAGACCCCCCTCTCCCCCAGACGCTTCGTACACTCGGACTGGGACTCCTGCGAAGGTCTCATCCCTCGCTTTAACTCCAGGGACAAAGTCTGGCCCAGGTGTGCCCTCCAGCAGCACGGAGAACCAACGCAAGTTCTGGATGTGGTGGCCAAAGCCGAGCCACTGCATCAGTTTGGCCTGGAACATGTTTGATAGAGTTTACTATGGAAAGCTTATTGCAGATAACAATCAGATTAACCCACGTGGTAAAAACTGATGAAAATAAATGGGAGAATTAAGCAATAATCAACCAAAAGCAGAACATCTCTGTATTTGAGTGTAATGTGCACAAAAAAGATTGTATTATTTATTCAATCCATTATTGTCTTAAAACAGGATACAAACAAAAAGAAACAGAAATGCGCTTCTAGACAGAGGTTTGCGCTTTTCTAGATTATTTCATTATTAGGACAGGGACAGTATTAAACCGGTATTTACTGGTTATGTTTTCCTTCATCTTAGTCTGTAGTTATGATGAGAATTACTATGATGGAAAAGGTTTTGTAAAATAGGTGGCAGAGTTTTTATGTCTCCTTTAGTTAATAAAGTCCTGCAGTTTAAGTTGATTCTACAAAGTATAGTTTTGAAGCATTAGATTCGATCTTAATCTGACTGTAAATTATTTTGATAAAAATGTTCCTCACAAATTATGAATGAACGATACGATAGTGAGCAGAGCATTGGTGTTCAGTAAACTACTTTTCATCATTCCAACACTTTTGTCCTTGAATACCAAAGTTCCAAAGAAATATGTGCATCTACATGTGACTAAATATCATCTGATGCAAACACAAAACCCAAACTTTATTGACTTTAGAACCAGTGGTGTTGGTTTGTGTCAAGGTTCAACATAAGTGGACCAAAGGTGAGTGACGATTAGTTGACTTTTATGCTCTTAATCTCATTTTTCCAGTTGTGCAATCCTGGCATAGTTCATCTCACTACAGAGCCAGAGATTTCCAACACTGAAAAGTCAATGATTCATTTAAAGGAGACACATTATTTGTTTTACATTTTGTTTTGAAATGTGCTCCTAAAAGACATTCATTCAATTTTTTTTACTACTACTGTTACTAGTACTGCTGCTACTGCTATCACTACTTCTACTACAACTACTACTACTACTACTACGACTACTACTCCTACTACTACCACTATCTCTACTAGAACTACTACTAATACTACTGCTGCTACTACTACTACTATTACTACTACTACTGCTACTACTACCACTACTTCTACCTCAACTACTACTACTACTATTACTACTACTACTACTCCTACTACTACCACTACTTCTACCTCAACTACTACTACTACTACTACTACTACTACTCCTACTACTACCACTATCTCTACTAGAACTACTACTAATACTACTGCTGCTAATGCTACTACTACTACTACTGCTACTACTACTACTATTACTACTACTACTACTACTCCTACTACTACCACTACTTCTACCTCAACTACTATTACTACTACTACTACTACTACTACTACCACTATCTCTACTAGAACTACTACTACTACTACTACCACTATCTCTACTAGAACTACTACTACTACTACTACTACTACTGCTGCTAATGCTACTACTACTACTACTACTACTACTACTACTACTACTGCTGCTAATGCTACTACTACTACTACCACTACTTCTACTACAACTACTACTACTACTACAACAACTACTACTACTACTACTACTACAACTACTACTACTACTACTACTTCTACTACTTCTCCTACTACTACCACTATCTCTACTAGAACTACTACTACTACTACTGCCACTGATTCTTCTACAACTACTACTACTACTACTGATACTGATACTAGTACTACCACCGCTACTTCTTCTACCACTACCACTACTACTACTACAACTACTACAACTACTATACTGCCCCTAATAATGATAATAAATTAAATAAATAACACAAAGTAGCAACATAGACCTTATTGTTTGGTCACTATAGGTGGTAGGTGAAACAGACATTTTCTGAGTGCAGTCCAATAACATTTCAATAGAGAGAAAGACCAGGGACACTGTGACGTGCTGCAGGTCTATTCTGCGTCTCTTATTAGAATGGTCACAGCAAAATGAATTAAATTATTAAAACTTACAGCATGCCCTACAGTCCGTATAAGCACATCCAATAGCACACATTTCCATCTCTCTTCTAAGGCGTCAGGTAAAGGCGTGTGCACGTAATAAGCCAACGCTAACGTAAATAACAACGTAATGAGTAAAGGAGAGCGCCGCATTTTGAGAAACACAGCTTATCCTCAGCCCATCCAACCTCGAACAAGCAGCGAGAAATGCACCTACAGCTAATATTTACAGTCTATGACCTCCACCTATCAACTATAACCACCAAGTTAACCTGTAAGAGCTGTGGTGCTTTTCAAAATAAAACTTAATGTCACTTTTTCCCAATGTAGCTCCACCTATGTCCACTAGAGGGCGGGCTTGCTCTATCATCATGATGCATTGGTACAATAAACTCTACTGTCTATTGCCAGTCTAAGTCTATTTCCATTAGGTGTGTCAAAAATAATTACTGCATTAACGTTTTGTTCAATAACTAATGGATAGAACAGTAATCATCTGTTCCATTTTATTTGCAATAGTGAAAAGATATTTGTGGATTTGTTAAACCAATGGAATGTGTACTACCTGTTTGTGGCTTTCAACAGTTTGCTGGGATCTTCCTGCATCTTCGTCATTTGACCAATACTGCTGGGTTGTTTCAATTCTCTACCAACTGAGCCGCCTATAAGATAATCTAAGAAAATATAGACAATTAATTTACTTAATTTAAATTTAATTTAAAATATATTACTCTCAAGAAAATCTCTTGTTCTAAAATGTTACAAACAATTAGTATACTTCACTGCCAAAAAGGGTATAATCCAATTTATAAGGTCTATTTTTGGAATATGCATATTTACAGCTGTTTCCAGTTCAGGGATTTAGCTAATAATATGATGTTATTGTTGAAAATGATTTGGAGAGCTGTGTCATTAATCTGCTTCCAATGAACAGGTGGTAGATTTTAAGGGAATATTCTGCTATTTTCTCTCTTTTTAAATAGTTCCTAAAACCTGCTAAATTTTGTTGAACTAGATAAGAATCTCCTTGACATTTTATGTTTAAGGTTCAATACAAAATCATTGAGGGAGTGTTCTGGAAACAGTGCAGAGATCACAGTCTATTGATCTCCGTTATAGACTGTCTGAGACAAACAACTGCTCTTCTCTGTTGAGTGGTTGCAGGAAACTGTCCATGATCAATAATTACACCACTTCTGTACCCTGAATTAAATAACCTCTCTTCTAATAAACATTTATTACACAGCTTCCTAAAATATGTGATTATGTATAAATGTCAATCTTTATTTCTGTTGGAGAAATGCTATTTTTATTGGAAATCCACCTCCTAAATTTGTTTCAGTGAATGCCCTTTCGTTGCTGATACAATCCGTCCCATCCATTGTGGCATATCCACATATTGCACAGGTGTGCCTTTGGCAGAACCGCAATCAGAGGCCACTCTAATTTTGCTTTTTGGGGGTCGAAGGGGTTTGAGGGGTTCTGGGGGTCTTAGGGATCAGAAAAACAGTCAATTACTGGTGTGACCAAAATTTGCCTCAGTCCAAAACATCTCCCTGCTATTGAGCAGGTGGATTGTGGCCTGTTGGTCCACTCCTTGTTAATGACTGGGAAAAGTCACTGGAGGCTGGCAGGAACTGGAACACAGTGTTTTGTCTGGTGAGTATGAAGCCATGCAACATGAGGTGATGGTCGTGGATGAATGGAACAACAATGGGCCTCAGGATTCAGATGTCGCCATGGTATAAATGCAATGTAACTTGTGTTCACATCCACAACATGCCTGCTCATACCATGAGCCCACTGCCACCATGGGCCGCTCCATTGACAACTTTAGTATACACAACACCTCACACACTCGCTGCTATCTTCACTGAACAAATAATCAGGATCCATCCATGAGGAGAAGACCTCTCAGATGCTACTAAATGTGAGCATTTGGTCAATCAAGTGGTGAGGTGGTCTGTGGTTGTGAGGCTGGTTGGATGTATTGCCAGTGAGTCATGGCAACAGCTCTCTTGAACATTCATGAACTCTGCCATTCTGTCAAAACATTGAGGCTTCTTGTTTTGTTGAGCACTTTGAGTTGCCTTGTGTATGAACTGTGCAATACAAATGTCATAAAAATGAACATAGTAGAGTGGCCTTTTAATGTGGTCTATTGAGCATATACAGTATTCATAGTTGTAAATGGAAGTGTCTTGCCAAGTTACACAACAGTTGACTATCCACATTAAAATGGCATTAATTCTACAACGATATGAACATAATAGTGAGTCAAGCTGTTTTGTAATGGCTTAGCGTCCACTTCCTTTGATGCTATTTATTGCTGTGTCTCTTCCCACGGGTTAAAAGGACCAATGCGTCCCCTGTGAGATGGCTCAACGTGGAGATGTAAACAAACACTGGAGAGCTGGCGGAGTTTTCCAAAACACAAGCAGGCACCAGACTGAGCCACATGGGCCCTGGACTGAGACCGTGGACCGACAAGAGATGGGCCCAAGATAGGCTAGATAGATACTGTACTGATCCACGTAGGAGAAAGTCACATGTCCAGTAGCGGCAAAAACACATCCATCCATACCAACAAAACAAAAAATTGATCATTCTTAAAAGCTAACAACAGTAACAATAAAATGCAACAGCACTTCAGGTCACAGCAGCAGAGGTGGTGTAGCCGCTTGGTTCGGAGCCAGACATTAAGAATAAAAGATAAACTAAATCTTGTATATTTTAGTGTTCAATGATGCCTGACCAAAAGGAGATTAAGTCTAGACTTAAAATGCCTAACCCCTACTACAACTGACAATATGTCCAAAGATGACACATTATACAGATGATCATACACCAACGATGGAAATACAGTATGTAGCACTTCAACTTAAGTAATTACACAGAGCTTTAAGTATGTGGTGGAATGAGCAGGAACAGATGACTCGATAGCCCCAGTCATTAATGCCCTTGTCCTCTCCATCTATATGTTCTCATTAACTGGACTTTCCTCAGGATGCAGACAGACATGAACCCCTTAGAGTCATCTCCATTCACTAAATCTTTCAGAGGACACCGTTAACGCGCTCAAATGATCCGTTAGCCAGACATGATCCGCTAGCCAGACATCTCACTCCTTTGCCCTCCCCTAAAACAGTGCGTCAGCAGAATAGCCTGGATTGTAAACGTTTATGCAATGTACATGTTTCATTCATGCGTGGGTGCAGACTGAGCGGGGTAGGGCACCAGGGAGCAGGCGGCATTAAAATTCCCCCTGGTCCTGGCGCGCAAGGTCTGGCTCCAGTCTGAGTGTATGGAAGGCAGAGAGTCTGGTGTCGCTGACTGGAAATGTACTTATGGTCATTCATTCAACGAGACGCATGCAACCCAAACTGTAGGCATCTGCTCTCATTACGAGCTTATGATAAAAACTCAACAAGCATTTGGTTGGCAGAACTCCCATCAATTTAGACGCAGCTGAAAGTATTTGTGAAAGTTATTTCAATAAATAGTTATTTTTAAAGTGTGATTATCATTATAAGTCATCAGAATTTTGTTGTACCAAACTTTAAAACCACAGAAAATGGAAATGTAGTAAACTTTAAATAATGCCTTGAACCCAAATATACAAAAAAACTTCTGACTTTTTAGATTTGCTTTTTTAGACATTTAGACGGAAGTTTGTGGTCTGATTTGTTCACAAAATTGTGCTTTTACCAGACTTGTTGGGTTTTTGTTGGGACAAACAAAATGTTATGACCCCAGCTTTAACAAGAGCGGGTCCAAACCAAGATTAACAAGACATTGTTTTAGCTGCTATTGTACTTAAGATAAGATAAGATAAGCTAGACTTTATTGAAATTTACACCATAACACCATGAATCAATATCATTCAATGGATATTTAGAATGCTAATATATAAGCTATATCAACTAACTAACCTCTATGTCTATGTTAAATTTCGTGTAAAAAAAACCTCTTCCAAACATGCTGACTGCCAAGACTGAAGTTCTCTGTGTTGAAAACAGCCACAAAAACCTGCACTGGGAAAGAAACCCCTCCTCAATGTCGTGGTCGTTATCATGGAAACATGGGCTGCTACTACATTGTGCAGATGTGATGTTGTTTGAAATCTGAAATATTTTTTAATCCTAGCTTATGCCCCAATAAAAACTTTGCCGCCTGCCTCTTTAAGTCATCACAACACAGTACCATGTGGCAAACGATGCAGACAGCCCCCCATGGATGTGTTAGTTAATGCTCAGTACAGTGTGGCAGCAGGCTCACGATTGTTATTCTCTTAAAAGCAGTGGGCGCATGCAGGACATCTTGATACAGGAAAATAAAAAATACTCTAGACAGCTCTGAATACAGCGTCATGTGCTGTGAAAGTTTTTGCACGTTTTTTTCCTCTGTTGCAGACTTTCTTCCTGTTGTCACTCGAGAGACTTCTGTGAATGCCATTATCTGAACGTGACCAACAGCTGCACCAAATCAGGCATTTTTTCACAAATAAATATTGATGCAACAGAATTGTGTGAGACATCAACACTTCACTTCGCTAAAGGAAAGAGCTGTTTTCTGCCCGTCTACCTATTTCAGATTTGTATTTTGTAGCAGCATCTTTACTGTAATTCCCCATCACCAGCACATCATGTAAGCTGGTAAAGGGGAAGATAGATATAGATGCTGCTATAAAATGCAATTGAAAACGCTGCTTCATAGATCTGACTTGTCTCTATTATATATCTTCAATCATAAATTTAAACAGTATCGTCCACCTTACCTAAATGTAAAGGCATGGTTTATCCATTTCTGGGTCAGGGGGGTGGCAATCAGAGCTGCCACCCAATTCACAAAGCACCAGTCCCTCGCCGTTCCTCCCGCAGGTGGTGGGTCCACAGCAAGATGGCTGCTCCTTCAACGGGGGCTTCAGGCAAAGTGGGGTTAAGTGTCTTGCCCAAGGACACAACAACAGCAGTCATCAGTGCCGTGGGAGCAGATGACATCGGTTGTGGCGATCAATGCTCTACCAACTGAGCCACTGTAAAGGCATGATCCAAATGCGTTGTGTGTTATGTAGAGTTCCTGGAATGTATCTGGTATGCTTTTTGGAATTTGTATAAGATAAGATAAGATAAGACTTTATTAAGAAATAAGAC